ACTGAGGAGGACGGCGTGGTAGAGGAGCTTTTCCTAAACATCTTTGAGTTCTATTCTCAACTAAAGGCTCAGTCTGCCCTCTGGTGGAGACTTGAATGAACTTGCACCCCTACCTGATGTTTAGTAAATTTCTTAGCACATTAGGGTTTCATTTAATGTTTAATTTATCTTAATTTCTACATATTTTATGCTCATAATAACCATTTGCACAAGCTCAATATTATTGTTACCATCTGGAGTAGTTTTGTTCCTAATAAAGGAGCACATTTGTCCCAATGCGTCCTTCAACATCAGAAGATATAAGTGTGAAAACACAGTGTAATTAAAATCTCTTCATTTGCTCTTCTTTAGCTGCTTTATATGAAGAGGCTCAACAAAAAAGTGACAAGAAATCCTTGCAAAACAATCTGTAAACTTTCTGAGCGTTTTATTAAGGATGCAAGTAATATAAGATGCAGATGTGTGATATTCTGAATATCAAAATACAGCCTTAATTGCATAACAGTAACGAACGAAACAGACCTTGAGCTCCATAAACTTTTGGTCCCCTTAACCTATATGTATTTTCTTCATGTTACATACACCCTGTTCTTTTAACAGACCACCGTTATACCTGGTGGGTGGAAAAAATTACTCCTTACTTACGTTTGGAGAGAGGTTTACTTCTCCTCCCTATTGGGGTAGAATAAATGATGACTATAAGAACAAGCTCACAGACTTCAGCTGACAGAGTTTTCTCACATTGGCTTTTGTTTATCTGAATAGTTTCACTATTATTTTATTTATTGTGATTGCATCCATCAAATAAATAGTACAAAAGTGTGCGTGTGGAAAATGAAACTTGTCACACCAACCCATTTACAAACAGAGGCTGCTCTGTGCGACCATCCGTATTTACTAATCCCATTCAGACACATTCAAACAGCACCAGGATCGGGACATGGCGCCTGCTCTTCTAACTGAGCTGGACCAGGGCCAGAAAGCATGTGTTTCTGACAAAAAACAATCTCATCCTACTTTAAGATTTACATGCAACTCACGGTGTGTGTGTGTGTGTGTGTGTGTGTGTGTGTGTGGGGGGGGGGGGGGGGGGATCAAAAGGGCTGTTTCTGCAGTTAATTTCCTCATCCAACACTTAGGGGTGACAGGCATATAAAATTTTTGTATAGAAAAATTCTTGATGGTCTAGTTTGCTTCTGTACAGCATGGAAAAGCATCAGTATTGATTTCAATCTGTTTCACTACCAGCTGAAAACTACTGAACGAGCTTTAATGACATATTTATTATCTTTTATATATATTTCAGCAGCTACTTGCGGATTACACTCATTAGCAATCAATCCAGCTGATGTTGCTTTTGGTTTCTATGAAACCAAGCAATTATATTTTTCTTAATTTGCATTTAAATCAAAGAATTTAAAAGACCCCAAATTACCTTTTAGAGACATGTGCCAGAGTGCTGAAAAGCAATGTGCTTTTGTTCTTCCTTGTTTGAATGTATTAACTAATGTTTTAAGACTCATTTCAGCCTTTGAGAGTAGACAGTTTCCGATATAGTCTAACTTCATAGATCTACACCAGATGACATCTAATTACACTTTGAAGGATTTAATATTGAATATAATGTCCAGATGATCCCAGAGAAGCATTCTGAATAATCTTCATTAGTGGGCGGCTGTGGCTCAGTGGTACAGTCGTCGTCTCTCGATCCCCAGCTCCTGCAGGAACATGTCCGATGTGTCCTTGGGCAAGAATTGCTCCCGCTGCTTCGTCGGCAGCGTATGGATGCATATGAATGGGATTAGTTATTTCTGATGGTCACTTTACAAAGCAGCCTCTGCCATCAGTGTGTGAATGTGTTTGAATGTGTAGGTGTGACATGCGCTATAAAAGCACTTTGAGTAGTCAGAAGACTAGAAAAGCGCTATATAAGCTCAAGTCCATTTACCATTAAGGTTCATGTTTTCCACCATCGCTGACAATCTTTTACCAACTTATAAACATAGTTTACACTGTGCACTGTTTTCTGTGCAACATTGCAGCAGGAAAAGGTGAAGAGGTGGAGGATTGATTAGTTGGAGGAGCCAGGCAGCATTTTGGGGCATCTAAGGTGATGGAGGTCCCCAGTTATTTTCCCGGCTGAGTGGAGACGAGGAGGTTGTGACCCCATGGCCTTCTCAGCAGATTGAGTGATGTGCTGCAGTTTGCCCTTGGCTGGGACTGACAAACTCTGGCAGTTGTGGATGGAGTCAAAAATGAAGTAATAACAGTTGAAGACAGGACTTTTATTGATAGTTGACGGTAGATTTTGATTGGCACAGAGGGAGCCGGGTGAATGAGCTCCTGCACAGAAGGTCCTGCAGCTTGAGTTGGTGAATTGGATTTTGAGAAAAACAACATAATAATAGATACATATATCTCATGGGTCATTTGCAGCCTCAAGCATCTGACATGTAATCTATTTAATTCCTTTTTTTTCTTTCAAAAATTGATGCCAAGTCTTGATTTTTTAGAATAAAAATGAGCAAAGTTTAGGGGGGTTTTAGTTGGGTTTATATTGTGCAACATTTTTCTATTAACTACTTCTAAAACGTGTAAAATGTTACACATATGTTTTTTTATTGTTTGGAAAACACATTCTCTTTAAAATGGGAAACGGACAACTAGTTTATTCCACTTTAAACTACTTAAAACTAGTTACGCACCATGTCATATTAGGCCTACATATTTTTTGGGGATACAATTGCACTGATGCATTTTGTCCTCCTTCCAGAGTCTTTCTGAAACAAGGGAAATCAGGACTTGGAAATAAGGGAAATTTAGTCATGTGCATTGATAACATGTTTTCATTTAAAAGATATTGATATTGTTCAGATAAAGATTAAGATTCCCTACAGATTTATCCTGTCTCCTACATTTGTACATTCTTATTAATTGTAGGCTACTTTAATCTAACCAAGTCAAATTTTCCTCAAATATTTCTCTCTTGTATTTGTTCAAGACTATTTTAGTGACACTGTGCTCTAAAGTAATCATAATGCCTTTACCTGATTTTAAAGGTTACCGAGCCATTTCTGTCCGGGCCCCTAAGGAATGACCTGCCAGAGGAGATCAGGAAAGCCAACACACTGACTTCTTTTAATCACTTTTTTTTTTATTTTAAATTACTATTTTAGACATGCTTTTTTTTCTGTGTGTTATTTCTGTAAAATTTTATTAAATGTTTCTTAATTGTGTGTAAAGTGATTTGTATTGTGTTTTGAAAAGCGTTTTACAAAAAAAGTATTATTATTAGCCTATAAGTACCGATTTATTTTCCTGCACTGCAGATGTTAAATTGTGTGTCAATCATCCAAAGGAGGCGGTCCTTCTTGCTTTAAAATGCCTCTCATTGGATAACACATGTAACTGGTAACGCCCTAAAACTGTGTCTTCACTGTGATTGGTCGGTCTTGACATGGCAACAAATTACGCATCCAATGCAAATTGGTGACTTCTCTCTGTCCCCGTCAAGCTCCTGAGCTCCACTAGCTAGCTAACGCAAACAAGCCAAGAGACAAGTAGGGGCTTGATGTGTGTATGTGCGGTCATCTTTCTGCTTTTAGCTCTCTTAATATCCGTAGCAAAACCAGCAATTCTTTACAAACGTCTTACTTCTTCTGTTGTAGTCGAAAAACAACACAAAACTGAAGTTGCCTTTGTGAAGGTAAGACAGATTTCCCTTCCTTCCCTACAGAACTGCACCGGCTCATCCAAAATGGCTCCTGTTAGCCAGCGAGCTAAACACCAATGTCTACCAGCAGCTCTCCTGAGCTAATGGCAGCGCATAAGCTGGGTGTTACGTTGAGAAATGCGTCCCTGCCAAGAGTTGCATTTGCACCTCGGCGGAAGTGTTGACAAAGTTGTCAGATCAGTGACGACAAAGTGATGAGAAGTTTATACTCAAGAAAAGTAGACGCATTTTCATTTCGTGTGCGTAAATATGACCTGCAAACAGTGTTTGACTTTGACGTGTCTGCAGAGGAAATGTAAGACATGCAATGTAAGAAATTTAGTCTGCAAACATTTTTTTTTTTGCATGGTCCTGCGAGGTGCATGCACTTTCTCTTCTCCTCGTAACACTGGCAGATAATAAGCTCAGCTGATTTACATTCAAGTAGAAAATGGCGTCTTCGCCCAGCTACTGTAACTAATATTGACCGGAAACAAACAAACAAACAAGGCAGTGATTTATCGTGTAAGGGTTGGTATAAATGCAACACGCGTTACGATACACGGGATTGTGTTACCATGACTGGGCTGTAACCATCCTGTCAGCTCTGTCATGACGGGATGGCGGTACAAGCTCAGTCGTCTGGAAACATTAGCGGCTAACCACGACGCCCTGCCCCATTTTACTGCACCACAGATGAAGCTTTTACACCCGTACCTTTTACTCCGTTTCTCCATAAAACTGCACAAAGCGACAAAAGGATTCTGGACAGGGACATTTATTTTTTCCTCCCCCCCCTCATACAGTGCCATACAGCCAAATTGACCCATATGTTAATTGTTTTATATGGATGCAAACTTCACTGTTCAGCATCCAAGCTGTGCAGTACTGTACAAGTTGTAAGCATTAGCATGTCAGCTAACGCATATTTGCCTTGTTGTAGCATAGCAACAAGGAGTACGGGTTCCTGCAGCTTGGAAAATAGTGTTATTGTGCCAAAATTGCCAAAAAAACAACGTAAAAATACAGTTTTTTGTATATAACCCTTCGTATATGTTATAAATCTCAGTGTGGGGTTTGCCTTGGTTGTTGGCCTTTAACAAAGACCTGGCTACTGTAGTGTTTATCAAGCTAAGTTGGCTACCTGATGTTGTCATTGAATAACAAACAACATGGTGACCCTGTTTTCAGCTGTGTGGCTAATGATGTAGCCTGAGTATGTGTTGTCCCCCCCCCCCTAACCCCCATGCAGTTATTAATTGCCCCTCCTTTTTTTCTCCTCCTCAGCACCGTTTTCCCCATCCCCTCCTATTATTCTTATTCTTTTGAGTATTCTTCATTGTCAAGCCGCCAAAGTGGAGAGTGTGATTGCAGAAGGGGGTGCTTCTCGTTTCAGGTAATACATGAACTTATGCCTCTAGTTATTTTCCATGTTCACCCATGTTATGTTCACTAGTGGTCTGGGCAGGGACTTCCGGCCCTAAGAACAAAGCAGGATGTGGGAAAGCTCAAAATGGCAGTCAGACATTTTTCTCTGTGAAACCTTTAGCAAAAAGGGGGGGGGGGGGGGTCGGTTGACATAATGAGACTTAAGAGGATTTTGGTTCTGTTGGGTGAATATTGGGGGCGGCAGCGCACACCCAGTTCACTCACAGTGTATACAGAGTCAATGAAAACAAGATGTCACACAACCTGGAATTGAAATTTAACATGTAGTATTTAAGGCTTCAAAAAATTGTCAAAAGTCTCTTGGGGAGTTTTTAGGATGCAGCATTTAGGATGCAGTCTTCATAGACTGTTTAAAAAAGAAAAGTCTGTTTTCACAGGTCATTTGACAGCTGGCTAATTGGTTGTATTGATCATCAAAATGTTTCATAGATGCTTTGACTGCAACCTCACAAGGCTTGCAGATGCTCTGAAAATACAAGTAATCAGTCTCAGCGCGTGCCACAATGATGCCATGATTGGAACAGGATGCACTGGAAATTTGATCATTAGCAGGTCATGGTGTCTGCTTTGCTTCTGATTTAATGTTCAACACTCCCAATTAGTATTCTGTACAATTACCCTCTTGAATATTTAGCATCACAGCAAGGCACATTTAGGGAGAAGTTAAGCCACAGATCACTGATGCTGATGAAATTTTGCAGCAGTGAATCAGTAGCAGACAATCTGCTGGTTCATCAATAAAATAGGTATTACAACAACGGATCAGAGGCAAGTTTCAAAGTTAGAAATGAATGCAGAGGTGATGCAAAAAACTACAAATCTGTCAAAAGAAAACAAACTTTTTACAGTACAATGTACATAAAATGTATAATAGAATAACATTCTTACGTGTTGAAACATTACACATGTAACTCCAGAACAATAAATCAGTGTGAAATACGAAACAGTGCAACTGGACAAGTGTGGCCTTTGTTGTAAGTTAGCCAAATGAAAGTCTCCTTAACTTTAATGCACCGAATAAATGGACACGTCGTCTCCTTAAAGGCGCCACATTTTGCGTTACTCTTTATAAATATGTGCATTGTCTTTCTTGAAGCTGCATTTGTGGCTCTCTAGCAACTGATTGTGACACTTAAGAAACACATCTTGTGATGTTTATTCATGAAGTTACTGGCCAGGACTTTATTCCAAGTTTCTACTTTCAAATGTCTAGATTTATATTAGTTTACCCGACAGTTTTAACCTTTTCTATCCCTACAAAATCTCTGTAATGGCCCTACACAGTGATCAAGTACAGGGAGGAACCTAGTCACCAGTTCAATTTATAGCACCTTAAATAAAGCCTTTTTTATTTAGGTGGCTGATTGGATTGTATTCTTTAATATACGTTTACCAATCATGCTTTTTCCCCCCCGAGCTGTAAATTAATCTCAATTGTAAGCGAGGGCTCTTACTTCTCAGTGTCCTCAGTGTTCATAAAGGTTGAATTAATAAATAAGCAGTACTGTTTATCTTGTGCCCATGAGTTATGGAGTGCTTCATGCACTTATGAGTTTCTCTCGCTCTCTCTCTCTGTGTCTGCTTGTTTCAGTGCTTCTTCGGGGGGAGGAGGTGGTAGGGGTGCACCTCAGCACTATCCCAAGACTGTCGGCAACAGGTTTGTCATTTGTCATAATTACGCTACAACAGGATGAATGTTTAGTGATGTCATGAGTGGAGCTGCTGCACGGTTGACTTATTTCAGTTGAATCCCACTGGGAGAAAAAGGGTTTTGATTTAGAGTAATTCTTTAGATATGCTTTGTTTTTTCAAACAAATATAACAAAACATGTCAATTATGAAACATAGTATTTGTTCAAATATAAATACTTTGATCGATAAGTAAAGTTTGACATACTTAGTCCTGTAGTTCTGGAGTTAAAACTTTAAAAACTCTTCAATAAATGATATCACAATAAGCTAAATTGTCAATAGAGGCAGACCATTTCTGGAGTAATAATAGTTCAATCGCTTTAAAGACAGGGTAAATGGGGGTGCCAGTTGCCTAGTGGTTGGTGCGCACAGCCCCTGTGCAGAGGTTGTGGTCCTCCAGTTATCCGGCCCGGATTTGATTCTAACCTGTGGCCCCTTTCCCACATGTCGCTCCCCAATCTCTCTCTCTCTCCTAGGTTTCTGACTCTATCCACTGTCCTTTTAAACCTCAAAAATAAACCTTTAAAAAAAAAAGGACAGGGTGTTCTTACAAAGCGCTAAAACTTTTATGAAATAAAAGTGATTATCCTCACTCAATATGGGGCGGCTGTGGCTCAGGTGGTAGAGTCGTCGCCTCTTGACCAGTCGGTCGAGGGTTTGATCCCCAGCTGAGCAACATGTCCGATGTGTCCTTGGGCAAGACACTTAACCCTGCATTGCTTTGGATAAAAGCGTCTGCTAAGTGAATTGTAACATTGTAACAATATGTGAGTTTTACTTAAAGTTGAGGCAAAAAGATTAATTTCTTAAAATACCTCTACTGTCTGACATCAACAAGAAAAATACACCTACAGAATTAGTAGTATAGGATAAAAACTGGATTGCACAGGCATTCATGTTTTTCTTTTTTTATGTCATGAGATTCTGTGGGGCTCAGTCTCTCTTTCTTTACTTGTACAGCGAGTTCCTGGGGAAAACCCCAGGGCAAAGCGTTCAGAGATGGGTTCCTTCACGAAGCACTAGACGAGATGTCAACTCCAGCAACGAAAAAGAGCGACACGATGCAATCTTCAGGAAAGTGAGGGGGTAAGAGTCCAGATTTCAAAGTTAATTATCCATCCATGGAGACGAAAAGCACCCAATCAGCTACCACATCCTTGAATTGCTTTTCATTCACTCTTACCCAAAAATAGCACACACATTTTGATCTTTAGCGGCTCAGGAATAGTTTAGAAATATTCTCAGTTGTTGGCAGAGTCCAAATTGTACAAAGTCCATCAAGATCAACATTTCAAGGTTGTTCAGCCTTTAACTGTTCTCTCGGGGTTGCCAGAAGATTTCTCCTAAAGAGTTTGAACAATAGTCTTGAAGTTTATAGAAACGTCGTAGACTTGAGGTCAGTTTGAAATCAAGAAGCATGATGCTACTTTCTCTTAATTGGAGGTTTCTAAGGTAACCAATTGTCTAGCAAGATAATCAACACCATGTTTTTGTGTGTGTTTATGAATAGTTGACCCTGTTGTTTTACTGGAGAGTGAGCGTTGTAGAGTGTAGGAAGCGTTAAATCCTGCCTTGTTTTGATGTCATTAAGATGACGTGTGCTTCGCTAAAGACACTTGAGTCCTGTTCCCCTCTTAGTCAGGTGATGTTTACAAGTACGAAAGATGAAGACGTGATGGTTTCCCTCAGGAATGTTGGCCAGCTGGTCATGAAAACAATAATCAAGCTGGAGTTTGGGGGATTTTTGGTTTACGTTAACCTGTTCATGTTTTGCACACAATATGTGAAATCCTCCTGAAAAAGAAGTAAAACTTTATGAAATGTGTTCAGCAGCAACTTTGGGATCCTTGTCACTATGCTGGGCATGATTACTCATGTTGTTGATGCTTCTTCTTAAATTAATCAGAAATGACAGAATCCTATGCTCTCAGTGAAAATGTTTAACACAGGCTGTGGATTTAAAAATCTCCAATGCTCTCTCTGTTGCACTCAGTCATGAAACAAGTGATGCTGCAGTTGTGTGTGTGAAGCGGTGTTTTAGCTAGCAAATAATGATAAAGTGGTTGGTTGATTGTTATGCTGTTTATAGAAGCTACTTGATGTCTTAAAGACTCCAGTCAGTAAACCTTTGTTTATAGTCTGCCTCTTGTTGCGAGAGTTGGTTTCTTTGAAAAACAACTTTATATGAACAGTAATAATGGATTAAGTTAACCTTGTGGCGCTGACGGCCTAGTGGTGAGGTCAGGCCCCATGTACAGAGGTTATACTTCTCAAAGCGGGCCGTCCAGGTTCAAGTCCGACCTGCGACTTCTTTCCTGCATGTCATTCCCCACTCTCTCCCAATTTCCTACTCTATCCACTGTCCTTTCTCATTAAGGGCAAAAGCCCCAAAATAAGTCTTTAAATAGAGAGGAGGTGGTTGAAAATGGGGCAGCTCAAATTAGTTTAGCTGCCCAATTTTTGTCTCAAGCTTTATGTAGAATCTCCAAAATAGATACTCAACCGTCAAGAAGATTAGTAAGAATGCTGCTCATCAACATGTCTGCTTAGCAGATATCATTGTCTTGTGTCAGTTCAAATGTCTTAATAATAGATTATTTGGTAAAGCAGGCTGATGAAGAGGACTGATCAGATTTTTTATTTTACAGTCATTTAAATGGATCTTTAATGTTACCTTGCTTCTCAGCAGCTGTGCTTCAGGCTGCTGCTGTCTAATTCAACTCAAAGGGTTAAACACCTCTTCGTCCTGCATTTTTGTTTTCAGTGAATTAGTAATACTACTTCACTAACAGCTTTACAGTCTAAATACTTTAGTGAATATAAACTGTAATCATCGTCATTTTGACATGAATATGTGCAATAAATGCATAATAGTCTAATGAACAAGAAACAATATTTAATGTGAACATGGTGGTCATCCATTGACAGTGCAGGCCGACCAGCTCGAGGTCAACTAAATGTACTTTATTAAGAAATAGCTGCATACTGTTGGTTAGCCAGCACATTGGCTGAGGAAGGAGAGATGTGAGAGAGAATAAGTTGTGGCTAATAGGAGCTCTAATAGTTTTTAGTTTTCACAAGGCAACTAAACATTTCATAGGACTGCACTGCAAAAACTGAATGCCCTCTCTTGTCAGGTTATATTTTCTTTTAACTTTATTATAATGCTTGTTTTGTTGTTTTGATGGGGTTGTCCTGACAGAATTTAGCACACTGCCTCTCCTGCACGTAATGGCTGGGAAAGCCTTCTTGATAACATATCTCATGGCAGCATCTCGATCCTGCATACTCATGTTGACTTCCTCCTCTTGCTGCCTCTCCCTTCCCCCTCTTGTTTTTTTCAGCATACTCAACAAACTCACGCCTGAAAAGTTTGACAAGCTATGCCTTGAGCTCCTGAACGTGGGCGTAGATTCAAAACTCGTCCTTAAAGGAATCATCTTGCTGGTAAGTGTACATTTCTCTCTCTCCTTCTCTTGTACTCTCGCTAAATGGAAAATGTATTCATGCATTCTTGGCCGGCTTCTCTGAGTGAGTCACACTCATACACTCCACGTTCTAATGACCTGAGTGGTCCCTCTCTTTGTTTCCTCCCTCCTCTGCTCCCTCCCGCACTGTGGTTTAGATTGTAGACAAAGCCCTAGAAGAGCCGAAGTATAGCTCGCTCTATGCTCAGCTATGTCTGCGCTTGGCAGAGGACGCACCAAACTTTGATGGCCCTTCATCTGAGATCCAAACATCCCAAAAGCAGAGCACAGTAAGTGTGGTTGTTTCCATTCTGCTGCACAGTTTTAAAAAAAGATCACACCCTCCCCCCCCTCCTTTTAATGACAACGCTGCCATGACTGCTCTGTTGTTGTCGTTATTAACACCTCTCAGCAACTTCTTAAAGATTTTCTTACATAATCATTTTGACATCAGTTGTTGTCATTTTTCTTAAGCGGCTAATTAGTAAAATAAACGTTTATTTTGCTTTCGTAGACCTTCCGAAGACTGCTGATTTCCAAACTTCAAGATGAATTTGAAAACCGCACCAGAAATGTTGAAAGTGAGTCCATGTCTTTGTGTTTCCTGTGAAGTCTGATTTCTGTTTGTTTCTTGAATCTTTTCCTCATAGTGAGTTAGCGATGCTCGATTATCAGAAAGTAGGGCTGTCAGCCTGATGTTTCCCAGCCCAATTTACAATACACAACAAATGAATTGTCAATCTCGTCAGGTCGCGTGCAGTGTGTGATGGTGGCAGCTGCACTCTCAGTAATGACGGCACCCATGTCTGCATTTTATACTGGTATATTGGTCGCACTGGTGTATAAGACGCAGCCAAGTTTTTGATGAAAAAGATGGTTTAAAAAAAGGTTGTCCTATAGACCAGATTTTACATTAAGTGAAAATATATGACAATTTATTAAAAATAATCCTTTAATTATAATAAACTACTGTTACTCTGGTTTGAGGTAGTGGTGAATTTCTCTTGTGGCCAAATCATAACAACAAACACACAACGAAGTACTAAATGTAAAACAGAACATTTGCTTTAAGTGAAATAACTACACAGACTTCTTTTTGACTGATACAGTGTATGTCTGTGTTGCTGTTAGGTGTAGCCTTATTTTCTCTTTGTGCATTTCACCTGAGCCAGTCCGCTGCTAACTTCTGTTTCTATCCTCTCCCTTCAGTCTATGACAAACATGACAACCCTCTTACTTCTGAAGAGGAGGAGCAGCGTAACATTGCCAAGATCAAGATGCTTGGCAACATTAAATTCATCGGGGAACTTGGCAAACTCGACCTCATCCACGAATCTATCCTTCATAAGTGCATCAAAACAGTATGTGCACTATAATTATTAGTGTTTGAAATGCAGGTTCTTCCAATGTTTGAAAGCACGGTGTAACTTAAAGAAAATGTTGCACACTTCAATGAGGACCGTGTCTGACCTCCTGCTTTCCTCCTCTCCACAAACTTCACTGAAGCTCCTGGAAAAGAAGAAGAGAGTCCAGCTCAAGGATATGGGAGAGGATCTGGAGTGCCTCTGTCAGATAATGAGAACAGTGGGGCCGAGACTCGACCATGAGAAAGCAAAGGTAACCGCTCCAGCCTTTCATGGCACTGTGATCTTCAGAAGAGGCTGAATATTTCCTTTTCTTGTGTGTTTACTTTGTCAAAGGGGCTTTTTTTGCCTTTAATGGAGAGATAGGACAGTGGAGAGAGTAGGGTATGACAAGTGGGAAAGGAGCCACAGGTGGGATTCGAACCTGGGCTGCCTGGGCGTGCGTACTAACCACTGCCCCACCAGTATAACCTTTTTATAGGTCAGCAAATCACTTCTGCTGTTTCATGCAAATGTAAATCCTTAAAAGCTTTTGCAGAGAAAATGAACACAGAGGTAAAAACAAACCAGACATTTTTCATGCCGGTCTTTTGCAGTCATTTCAGGTCCTGGCTAAGCTCTTGAACATGTTGCTCTCAGACTCACCTAAAGCCCCACTTGGCTTAGAGCCAGTGTTTACACAAACCCTTCTGCTATACTGTAGGTCCAGGCTGTCTGTCCTCACTCAACCCCCCGCCTGTCTGCTCTCTCCCCACTTTCTCCAGTCTTTAATGGATCAGTACTTTGGCCGTATGCGCTCCTTAATGAACAACAAGGAGTTGCCTGCTAGGATCCGCTTCCTGCTGCAAGACACAGTGGAACTGCGAGAAAACAACTGGGTCCCCCGCAAGGCTTTCATCGACAACGGACCAAAGACGATTAACCAGATCCGTCAGGAGGCAGTTAAAGTGAGTCCAGTGACAACGATGTTCACGGTCCAACTTTCTGAAGCCGAGTTTGAGGAGTGCCTGTGTTAAAGGGCTGCATAAATAAAGTCCTCTCTCCTTTTGGAAACTACAGTGTTTGCACATCAGCAAGTACCCTATTGTGAGGAGCAGGGTTGTCCCAATATCAGATTTCTAAACTTGGATATGATACTAGTAAAAAAAACAAACGATATTAACAAAAGAATTCTCTACCATTTCCAATACCATGGCAACATAAATAGAAGTCCTGAGCACCCGATGCTGAGTAATTCACCAAAACCTCCAAACAAACTACATGCAACATTTAAGCAAATGAGACAGTGCTCCCTCTCTTTTGCTTGAGGCAGCTTATGGTCACAAATATTACTAACTAAAGTTCTCTCCAGTGATGAGGCCATCAGTACTCTTCTCCATCAACGTCCTCTCTGGTTTCTGTGCCTCTGCCTTGATTTGACCAAGACCAGTGCACCAACAAAAATGTTTTTGTTGCTTTTACTATTATGGTTAAATAGTTGCACAAGCTGCATTACAGTAAACATCATCATTTCAATGTTCTTCATGTTTAATCATCTTTATGAATAATTGTAACCAGCTCTGTTGTGTGTGTGTGTGTGTGTCCCTGTAGGATTTGGGGGTTTTCATCCCAGCACCCATGTCTCAGGGAATGAGGATGGACTTCTTCCTGGAAAGCCCCTTCATGCCCAACAGAGTGAAACTGGACAGGGAGACTCTCGGGGGTTTGGCCGATATGTTTGGACAGATGCCAGGTATGTGCTTCGTTGGTGTCGAGTTCTGTGGAGCATTATCTCATCATGCGATAACTGCTGTGAATCTTTTCAAACTTTCATCAAATTCTTCATTTTTTCTATGCTGTTTCATTCTTGAGACTTGTCTAGTTGACATAAACTAAGATTATTATCCAAACAAAGGCTGTTTTTCCAGTTACAATGGATGTGCTGCCTTACACTGTTTCTCAGACATCATTCAGAAATGTTGGACTATGTGTCAGTAGGCTTGTTTTTCTGCATCATTTCCAGCCTTTTAGTCCAGTAACATGCCTGAATCCTCACGGTCAGAGCCTCTTCTTTTGGTAAAATCTGTTTCAACGTATTCTTGAAACTGTTTTTTTCTCAGGCAGTGGGATTGGAACTGGCCCGGGGGTTATTCAAGACAGGTACTCGCCCACTATGGGACGCCATCGCACCAACCCGCTCTTCAACGGCCACAGCGCCCACATCGCCCCTCAGCCGCAGTCACAGTTCGAAATGGGGCCAAAGTCTTTTGTTAAGTCCAACCAGGTAATCCTCGCAGGGCCACAACAAGATGTGGGAATTATGCTAACACTGCTTGATGTGCACAGCTCCTGAGTTCAAGAGTTCAGAAAAGTAATCCTCGATCCCTCCGATGTGACTTTCGACAGGTTCAGAACCAGCATTTCATCAACCAGAACCAGAACCATACAGCCCAGCAGCAGGTCCAGTCCAAGGACATGCCTCCACGATTCAGCAAGAAAGGACAGCTCAACGCAGACGAGGTAGCTGCATCACAGCATGGATGTGTAAACATCTATCAACGTCATGCCCAGTGATTATAAAAAGACGCGTTATTCTGAGGAACACAACCAGCTGCCAGTCGTTCTTATTCCTCTGACTCTGTCTTTGATCTCACTCTTTTCTCTCATTCCTCCTCCTCCTCCTCCTCTCTTCTTCAAAACTGGTAGCTGGACCGCTGACTGCGATTATGAGATATGAGGGCATGGATTCAGATAAAGTGCACAGTTTTAGTTTTCCAAGCACGTGACCAATCATAGTGTATGTTCTGTGTTCATGACGCTTCCTGATGCTGCAGATCAGCCTCAGACCTGCTCAGTCATTCCTCCTCAACAAGAACCAGGTTCCCAAGCTCCAGCCCCAGATCCCCAACATGATGCCCCCCAGCGCCCAGCCCCCACGCACTCAAACCCCCCCTCTGGGACAGGTAAGGAACACCCTCACTTCGTCTAACTCAGTGAGTTTGACAAACACTACAACACAGAAAGAATAAAATAATGTGTTGAAGGATTTTAGACTGAAAGATTTAAGGACAAAAACTTGAACTAAAGCCTTACCAATCCATAACATCCTATTATGCCGTTGTTTCTTAGTAGAACTCCTTCATGTCTCTGATATAATCATGACTTTTTGCCTCAGCCTCCACAGCTTGGCCTGAAGACCAACCCTCCACCCATCCAAGAGAAACCTCAGAAGATAAACAAGAAGCCTCCTCCTGCCCGGGAGGAGCTGCTGAAAATGACGGTAGGCAAAACACAAAAATTACACATCCTGGTCTGCTTTCTGTGTATTACTACTGTTATATGTGAATACTGGAGACATTTATTATTTGCAAGCCTTAATGTGCAAATCTAATTTTAAACAACCTTTAGCCAAAACTTTCATTTTTGACTCTAAGCACTGGTAGACTTTCTCTGTAATGTCACAGACCCTCCAAACAGTACTGAAGAATAACTTCAGGTAGTTAACCCCTGCATAAACTACATACTGCAAATCTCTCGCTGCCAAGAAGCAAAAAGAAAACTGTTTAAGCGTGATAGCAGAATGAAATGGATTCAGCATTAGACAAGGGACAAGTGAGCTGGGCTAACATTGTTCTAAAGGTTTCGGGCTAACCAGCCCACATGCAACATTTCCAGTTAAAAGAAAGACAATGTGACTGAGGTCAGGTCAGTTTAGTGGAGGTTGTAAGTGCGTATATGTCTTGGATTACTGACTTGTACAGTAGTTATATGTTGCAGTTTGATTTAGAGAATGTAGTTTATCATAGTCACAAATACATAAAATAAGCACTACAGAAATGTTGCACCACCACTGTGGTTTGTTGCGATCTCTAAACATGAGTTAAGAAAGAAAAGAAAAACAAAATCTCTCTTTGTTAATTATTTGGGTTGACATAAGTCCTTTGGTTTGGAATGAATGCTTACCTTTAATAGTAGCTTTTCTTTATGGTTACTGGTCCACAACTGATTGAAGGCATCTGCCTGTAGATGGTTGATCTGCCAACAAATTGAACCACATAACCTCCAGATCTAACAGAAGACCCAGCAGTTGAAGCCTCCTCATGGTTTTCATGTTTCAGTGTGTTGTGACCAAACTGGCCACAGCTCATTTCTTTGTGCTTGAATTCTGACGTCAGGAGGCGATCATGACTGAGTACTTAAACAGTAAGAACCTGACTGAGGCTGTGAGCGCTGTACGAGAGATGAAGGCTCCCAAGCACTTCCTGCCTGAGATGCTGAGTAAGATCATCGTCTGTTCCCTGGACCGCCCTGATGAGGACAAAGAGCACGCCAGTACTCTGATCCACACACTGCGTACTGAAGGCCTCATCACCGGAGAGAACTTCATGCAGGTACACACGCCAGAAATGAATCTGTTAAATCCTGCACAGGATCACCTGCATGGGTAGAAGACAAATCCTTGCCCTGTGTCTCATTATTTGCTGCTTCTGCAGGCCTTCCTCACCGTCCTGGACCAGTGCCCTAAGATCGAGCTGGACGTGCCCCTGGTGAAGTCCTACTGGCCCAGTTTGCAGCTCGGGCCATCATCGCAGAGCTGGTGAGCGTGGCAGAGCTGGCTCACCCCCTGGAGAACGGCACCCACTTCCCCCTCTTCCTGCTCTGCCTGCAACAGACGGCCAAGCTGAAGGACCGGGAGTGGCTGACCGACCTTTTCCAGCAGAGCAAGGTCAACATGCAGAAGATGCTCCCAGGTACTCCATGCATCCTCTCAGTGAACTCTCAACAGCACAGGCATATACAACAACACAGGCAGCAGTTTTTTATATCTGAGTCCCCTCTGAGTAACCAACAAGATTTTCTCTGCAGAAATCGATCAGAACAAGGACCGCATGCTGGAGATCCTGGAGGGGAAGGGCCTGAGCTTCCTTTTCCCGCTGCTGAAGCTGGAGAAGGAGCTGCTGAAGCAGATTACGGCAGACCCCTCTCCACAGTCCATCTACAAGTGGATTAAAGACAACATTTCGCCCAAGCTTCACACTGACAAAGGCTTTGTCAACATCCTCATGACCAGGTAAACATGCAGAAGGTGTTTTTGGCTTCTTGTGATGAAAACTGAGGCGCCCATGGATCATTTATTGTCTCATTTGCATGTTATTTTCTAAATCTTTTGCTTTATCAGGAAAGTTTTATATTCCCAGTTAAAAAAAAATAGCAATTTTAGCTTCACATGCATATAGTATTTTGAAAGGTTTTGACCAAAGAAAGTCTGTACATAAATCTTGATCTTGCATTGACTGTGAGGGCCTCCACTTTAAATGACTGGTCCTCTGGTCTCTCCCAGTTTCCTCCAATACATCTCACAGGAGCTGTGTGTGGCGGAGGGTGACGAGCAGCTGGCGGCCCCCTCCAAAGAGCAGCTGGAGCAGGAGAAACAGCTGCTGCTGGCCTTCAAGCCCGTCATGCAGAAGTTCCTGCATGACCATACCCAGCTGCAGGTCAGCGCCCTGTACGCCCTGCAGGTGCACTGCAACACCAGCACCTTCCCTAAAGGTACAGCGACACCCCAAGTCAGGGACAATAACCAGAGCTAGACCAACAGAGCTGCTTTTATTTAACTTCACATTGGATATATTCCAAGCCATAGTTTTAGAACTGGTATAGGTTTGCTACAATTCTAGCATGTGCTGGACATTTTGATCCCAAGTGATCTCCTTCTGATGTCACAGTGGGATTCTGATTAAAAAAAAAAATACCCTCCCCTCCCCTGTATCTCCACCCATGGACTCCAACTCCAGCCTAGAGCAAAACTTTTGTGCAGGTCCACTATTTTTATTCTCGCTAGCAAAGGACTGATGTCTACTGGGATAACTCATTGCGTTTAAAGAGACACGCACACCAAAACGGAGCTTTCTGAGAGAGCTGCTTTATACAGGGTCACAGACCTCTTCTGGTGCTTGATTCATGTTATATTTTGACCACAGCACAGATATTTTATTTAGACCACAGGGAACTGTTTGAAAAGGGGTACAATATGTCCTCTTTAATACAAGTTATTAATACAACAAATCATAGTTTAAGCATCTTATCTTACATTCCTAGCTAAATAGAACTGCTTATTTTGGAAATATTCATTATGTATATTTATTTTTATTTATTTTTAAGGCATGCTGCTGCGCTACTTTGTCAACTTCTACGACATGGAGATCATTGAAGAAGAAGCCTTCCTCGCATGGAAAGAAGACATTACTCAAGAATTCCCTGGAAAAGGAAAAGCTTTATTCCAGGTACAGGACGTTTAGAATGATGCAGTTGAAGTCCACCTTTGAATGATGTTGTTCTCTCACAAGATGGGAAGTCTGTTCTGACTGTTCTCCTCCCCCCCCCCCCACCCCTTAGGTCAACCAGTGGCTCACCTGGCTGGAGACGGCGGAGGAGGAGGAGTCTGAGGACGACGCCGATTGAGACGCCAAACAGAAGCATTATGTTGTAGAAGATCGACCTCATCTTTATTATTACAGTCGCCTTTCTTTATTAAACTCCATGCTTAAGTTAACCACTACCACGTGGCACTCGGCTACTTCTGGCTTGCAAATCTAAAAAAAAAAGAAAGAAAAAAGCTTGTATCTGTAGAGGGCCTCATGTGTTACCATGACGATACGCTGAGAAGCATCTTTTGATCTGTTGCCTGATGGATGTTTGATTCTGGATCCGTGTCCTGATCAGCTATGAATTCTGAAGTGGCTCATCCACGTGTTTTACTTTCTTCTGTTGTTTTTGCTCTTAATGTGTTGAGTTTGTAACTTTTTCAGTTTTGCATGTTTTTCATTTCCACTCAATTTTTACTGATTTGACGCTCCCAATCGTTAGGAAACAAAGAGTCCCCCTGAAACTATTAGCCCTCTTTCCTAATGCTAGCTTAAGACCATTAACAAAAGGTTGCATCAGTGACCTGCTTTGTGATCTTCTGTAAGGGCCCAGCCTGGATTTGTCTTCAATCACACTCGGGTGTCTTCTTTAATCAACAGCAGAGAGGATGTAAACACAGCAGCACTCTGCTTTTAAATCAGAACGAGTGATGGGCGGTAGAGGCGACCCGCTGGAGTGAGAGCAAAGCAGAAGCTGGCAGGATATTTCCAGAAGTATTTAAGATTCATGTGTAGTTGGCTTATAAACGAATCCTATTTGATTTGACTGTTTCTCTTTTACGTGTCCCTCCTTGTCGTCTTTTATTACTTGAGTGATTGCAATACTCATGGTCCTCCAAATGTAACAAGATTTACAAAAGTTGTAATCATTGGTGTGCCGCCGTAAAGTTTCAAAGTTGCCTGTGTTTCTACCTCTTAGTTAGATGGGCTTTTTTTTTCTTTTTTTTTGTGCTGGGATAATAAATCTACTAAAGAGGAAAAAAAAAAGCGAGAGCCCATGCACACGCAAGTATTTTGAGTTAGTCCTGGCCTATAATTGCACAATAAAAGAATTGAAGCAGATTTGTTGATGTGAAGCTTAACATGGTTTACAAGTATTAATGTTGAAGAACTAGGAAAAGTTGTTTTTTTTTTTAAAGAGGGTCCTCTTTGAAAAGTGTAACTGTTAAAAAAATCGGGAATTCAGAGTGGCCTGTTTATTTAGAAATACTCAAAAAGGTTAATGAATTAAGTTGCTTTTAATGATTTTCTTAAAATTCACAGATAAAGCAAACCATCCAGATAGGCTGTAAATGACCCTTTCCTGCTTAAAAAAAAAAAAACTCATCTAACTGCTAAGTAATGATCAACTTTTATCGAAGAATTGTGCTCACAGGCCGTGTTCAAAATTACTGTGCACCTCTATTGCGTTACTGTCAATAAAGACCAGTACATGAGCAGCACAGCTAGTTCTCACTTTTATTCACATCTTCCAACTCCTCACTGCACGCTGTTACAAACACTCTCATCTACGATAACCACTGTCTGACTCCTCACCAAGGCTTAAACATTCAGGTTTTGTGTCTTTATTTTCTCACTATTGTAATTCTCATACAAATCCTGGAACACATCTCTGCTGACGATCAAGAGGATGACTGTGTTGCTTTTTCTGGGCGAATGCAAAAAGTCGGCCATCTACTATTCTTCGTCTGTAGGGATCCAGAAGTAATCCACCACCTTCCTGCTCCTGCGCTGAGGAGCAGAGTCGGGTCGCTCTCCTCCGAAAGCGGGCAGCTCATCGAAGTGACTCGGACCCAGATCCCTCCCCATGTGGGGAGCAGAGACCCTCAACATGGTCCTGAGAGAACAGTCATTTAATTATCCTACAGTTATGCACTTGATCAATTTTAAGGGGAAACTGGCCCTATAACCTAGGATGGGATTTATATAAATGAAACATATCAGTTCAAGTTATTTTCACTATTTGAAGAAAAACATTTGTTACAAGTTTAATTGGTTTAGAAAGGATAGCTTTCTTTTTTAACAGGTCAAATGACATTTGGTTGCATATTGTTAAGTGTCATGTCCTCTTGTCTCAACTGATTTCTCTTCACTACTCAGCCCAACTGATTAGATGTTTAAAGGGCTGGACGTAAATACTGTACATTTAAAAAAATGGCTTCAACCTGTGCAAAAAAAAAAAGGAACAGGTTGGATTGTTCAGTAAATGTAAGTGGTGGTGTTTATACTGCCCCCTGGTGGCTGCAGTGTTACCTGGATGAACTCCTTTCAGTCTCCTCTGGACTGGACTCAGGTGTGGAGATGTACACAGGGTCACCTTCCTGAAACCATATGATTGAATGACATACATTTTCCTAATAATAAAGATAAATATCTTTTCTTAAATTGGATTTTCTTAGTCATTTACCCTAATTGTCAGGTTTATAGTTGGTTTTTTTTACTAATCTTTAATCCTGTTAATTTTCCTAATTTATCTGTCAAATCCCAACCCATGTGCAGAAATTCTTGCATTATTTGATTTTCTAATTCAGTCCATTTTAGATAAGGGTCATCACTCAATGGTCTCTCAATATCACTTGAGATTGCAGTAAAAGGTTATCCTATAACTTAACATTAGCCGTGTCAACTCACCGTAAAATTTCTTGGGTTGCCATCTTGATTTCTGAGAATTTTCACCCTCTGATCGCTCTCCGTCATGCAGAGGAAATAACTCTTGATGTTGGCTTGACACTGTTGAAAACCAAAACATGCTGTTAGGAAAGGTGTTAGAACAAGAATGCATGTCATATTTGATTACTCACTGCTTTGTTCTGCCTCAGAGCCTTCAGGTCCTCCTGAGCTCTGAACTTGTCGGCTAACTCCTGATGTTTCTCCCTCCAGCTCAGACATTCAGCCGCCCTCTCCTGCCTCTCCTTCTCGGCCAGCCGTCTCTCTGCCTCGGCCTCCCGCTGAGCCTGGCTGGCCTTTTTGCTCTCCTCCTCTGAGGCCATCGCCCTGTGCCTTGAACTCATCTCACTGAAAACACAAATCTGAAATTACATCCCGAAATAACTCATTTTAGATTCCACTGTCAAGTAATCTGACAAATAAACTTTTACTGTTTAGCTGTTACATTTGGGTTTCTTTTCATTTCTTTTTTTCCAATCTAATTAATTCTGTTGTGGAAAAAACTCAACTGATGTTATTTAATTGCTTCATATCTGTTGCTTGAATGCTTTAAATGGAAGTAAACCATTTAACTTTGAAGCAGGTCCCAAAACAAACAAAATATGAGCCTGTAAATCTTTGGTTTCCCTGTCACACACAACCATGAAGTACATTTAGATACATCTGTACCAACAAGAGCACATCTGGATTTAAGGAAATTCCAGACATTTTTCCTTTGAAGTTCATTAATGCTACACAGAGATGGTCAATATGTTCAAATTAAGGCAATGAAGTGTGATTTAATAGGGTTTCACGCTTTTTTCAAACCACTATATGTCTTTTGAAAACTGTCTCAGAATATCACAGACCTTCTCCAGGTTTCCATATTTGTTATTGGTTTTCTCCTTTAAGGCTTTGATGTCACTTTCTGCCTCCCTTATATCTTCTTCTTCCCTGTCAGCTTATCTCCAGTGAAGCTCTTGTTATTGTTAGTCTTCTGGCTTCTGACTTTAAAAAGTGTAGCGATTGTAATAGTGAAACATTTAGTCAGCCCTGACCTGATTTCTCAGCAGACAAACGCTCAAACGGCTGCTTTCAATATGGTACCTTCACTATGACTGACCTCAAGGACTCCATCATTCAAATGCATATTATATTCACATCTTGAGTCCTACTAAATAAGATTCATACCAAATGCCTTGTCTTTGCCACTGATTTTTTTAACCAGGATTATCAGCAAAAAGGCAGGAAAAACCCTTAATGACTAAGAACACAGCTTCTTTTTTTCTTTCTCCTTTTTGTCCATTACCATTTCGTTTGATGCAAATTTTTTATTTGTCTCTGAGATGTAATTGTGAAGCAGTTCAAGTGGTCTGGTGTTTTTTTCTCATGGAAACAAAACAGCTGGCTATTCACAATTTGTAGCTTAATTAGAGCGTATGTGTTTTGTAAAGAAAATGCAATAAAAATGGTAGCATCAAATGTGGTTCAACCCAACTGTCTGAGGGACTTTAAAACATAAGATGTAATTTATAATAACATGAAAATGAACCCCCCTCTGACTTTTCCAACAGTTACATATAGTTTGCTCTGTCATGATGATTTATCGCTTCCTAAAGGCAGATTACCCCGCCACTGTTCTCTCTTTTGATAAGGAGCTAAAAATAGGTTTTACAGTTACCCTTGCGCTTGTGCTCTTCCTATCTTCATGCAAGACGTGACACTGTGAACCTAAAACATCCTCCCTCTGGTGGCCTTGACTCTATTTCAACTTCCCCTATAAAAGAGGTATTCAGCACTATTGGCCTCATGTTTCACTAGCTATTGTGAACAGGTCACTGTGTTCTGATTTCTCGCCTGCTTTGTTTCACTTTCAGCATATAAACCATGACCAAACACTTTCTTTTGGAGAGTACAATACACCGTATTTATGCAGAAATAAGAGTAGGATTCCATACAAAGGTTAATGATAAATAAAAATGTTTAGCAATTTTGTAAAACACTTTGAAAAATAAGATGCAAAATAAGTTTAGTTTAAGTATTTTTTTTGTGGGGAAAAAATACTAATTTCAATCTTTCCAAAAAGTAATTTCATTGTGAAAAAAAGACTCATTTTAACCCTTCCTAAAAGTCATTTTATTATGGAAAAAGACTTGTTTCAATCTTTCCAAATTGTAGATTGTAAATTGTAGATTTGAACACTGAGTAGTGCTGTGAAAAAAATACTTCCTAATAAATTCCTTTAGAAACATTGCTATAGTAGCTCACATTAAGCTTAAGTTTGGTGTTCCTCATGGCTCTATCCTTAGTCCTATTTAGTTTTCCACAAAAAATGCACACTTATTCTCCCACATGTTGTTAATTCAATTTTATGCTTGCAACACTATGTAACATGTATGTTTAATAATTGGGTGCATCTGTTACACCTTGGTTTGTTGGTATGGGAAAATATCTATTTAGAGGCCTGTTTAAATGTTAACGTATATTTTTATGTACATTTTTTGTCATGTGCAACTTTACAGTCCAAAAAAACTACTCTTGGTACAAACTCATGTGACCTTGAATTATACCCACCTCCCTTTAAGTTGTACATTTTCTTCTGTGATCCGTCTCAGCTTGTTTCGGAGGTCGTCTCTGTCCCCCTCCAGGCTCCTGTTCTCCTGCAGCAGAGCCTGTTTCTCCCCGGACACTCGGTCCAGCCTCAGCTTGGTTTCAAAGTAACTCTTCTCTGTCTGTGCCAGAAGGAGCTGCATATCAGTGTGCTAAAAGAAGAAAATGATGCTTTATTTTTATCACAGGTCATGATTTAATCGTTGTAGCTCACGGAAAAAACATGGAACATATTTATTACATGTTACTATGGTCACTAATTGCTTCCCCAAACTATCACTGAGGTGTCCCTAACCAGTAGTTTTGAGGTGATCTTCTGACTCAGTGTGTTTGTGTGTACCTCTTTCTTGAGCTGCTGTAGTTCCTCACTCAGGCGGCTCCTGTCTGCCTCTGCTGTCTCCTTGTCCCGTAGACACCCAAGGGCCCGAGCCTCAGCATGGGCCCTGTTCTTCTCCGCCTCCCCTCTGGACTCCTCTGCCTCACCTGCAGCCCGGGAGCACAGTGTCGCCCTCTGCTGGCTCTGATACAGCTTTTGGTTCAGCTGATGGGGGTCAAAAACAGACAGAGAGGTGGGTGTGTATGCTTTAGTGACTCAGACAGGAAACAGTAGAGGCCTGCCTTTGTTTCTAGGTGTAATATAACTCCTAGCACTCCGAGACAGAATGAGGGTCAGCACTAAGCTGCAGTGTGTGGATATAGGTTAACATGCAAATCTAACAAACAAGCTCACAAACTATGAATTTCACAGAGTCAGTTGTACAGTCATGTAATACAGTTACTTATCATAAGAGGAGACGGTGTTTGCCTTGATTAATGTAATTGATACATCAGAATCACATAGCACTGTCTGCATGCTAATTTGCAACATACAAATAAATGTACATAAAAATAAGTAGCCAGTCTGTCGTAACCATGGAAACAAACCATTTCCAGTTCCATTTCAGTGAAGATGTGGAACTAGTTGAGTTGGTGGACAAAAAATATCTATTTGGTTTTCATTATTTCTATTCTTTTTTACTTTTATTTGCAGTTTGTATAACAGTTGTATAAAATCAATATCACACTTAGGTGGGAACTGGAAAAAACAACAACCTTTGCCTCCCTTTTAATCATTTTTAAGAATCATGTCTCTTGTCTGGTGAAATGTTTGTGAGCCGTCTCCACTATCTGAGTCCTCTTACCTC